ACAGTATTTCCGCACTAAAAAGCAATATACTCGTCTCCAATGCGCTTACCTTCATCTCTCTTGACTGGCTAGCTGTTTTAGGTAAATTGATACATACACTTCTTTCTCTGCTCAATAAGAACAATAATAAGTACCACATACTAAACGAAACCATGCTTTTTATAAACACCTTGAGTGTGGCGTGTCTGTTGTTGAGTGGAATGACTTTGAATGCCACTTGGACCAGCGCCTGCAAAATGTATGCTACATTATACATACTATAGGATCTGTCAAACGAGAGTGGGTTAGTTTTTATACTTACCTGTAGTTATTAGCCAATAAAAAATGCCCCTCATTGAAAATAATGAAACTAGTTGGCTTTGACCTCTTTTCTTTCGATACCATTGTTTGCTTTGCTTATTGTAAGTTTTAATTTCGAGGTTGGATGAAATATTAACTCTTTGAGATCCAGTGACCCTAGTAGCTGTATATATAGTTTATTTCTTTTTGCTATTATTCATACTTGGCGGAACCTGACTGTTATAGATTTATAATACCTGCACTTCCTCGTGCTGGTTGCTGGGTGGACTGATGGCGACCATCTCTGCTTGATCCTCCATCAGTTGCATAGTACCCTACAAAACGCAAACCAAGTTATAAACCGGAGGTGAATGCAATTTCATGATCAATTCGATGTGACATTGGCTTTGCTGTATACAGTGCATGAAAAACTTCATGTATTACTTCAATACTTTGTTACATATCTAGATCTTTGCTTCAAGAGGACTTCATATTTATAGCTAATGATGATTAGTTAGCAGTATCGGTATATGCCTATTTATTTATTTATTTATGTTTTATTTAAACAGGGTAGAACCCTCAGTGCTATTTAAAACCACTGCTTTTCGGGAATGCCCTGCAAATGCCACGAGAAGGCTGCTAGAATCTGTGTATTGACATGTCTCGTTATATCTTACCTCCTTTGGTCCTTTTGCTGCTCCCCGTGGTGTTACTTCCTCGTTTTGTCCCTCGTCCGCCTTATTAAACAAAAGAAAATGTTTTAATGAAAACATTTACAGACATGCAGTCCAAAGATACAAGTACCTCCTATCTTGCCCTTGAAGATGGAGTTTGCACTCCATAAAGTAGATTGAGCCAATGTAAACTTTCTGGGTTCAGTCTGCAACTCATCATGGAAAGAAAATATAAACCTTTAAAAAAAAGGGAAAGACATTCATACAGGGACCCAACTACCTCTGGTTGTGAGAGAGTCAATGTGCAGCTTTTTAACCTATTCAAAACGTGTGTTGAACTCGTGGACTCGTTTTTATAATTCAAAAGCAGCCGTTTTATGGGGAAAGGTTTTACGAGACAAGGCAAATTAAGAAAGGGGGCGGGGAAATGTGGAAAACGTCTTCATACCCCCTTAATTTTGGTTACTCTTACATATACCTTGGAACCTATGCCGTCTACATAGAAATATACTAGTTTCACTTTCACATTCTAGTATCCGACCGTAGAAAATAAGCAGAAAAGATTGAATTAACGGAACTCGTGTTGCATTTCTTCACAACAGGCTACAAACTAAGGGAAATGTATGTAAACATCAACGCCAACTGAAATAGGAATAAGAACAGATACTAGTATACGCTGCACTCCCATTGTTGATTATCAAAAGTGTGTGGAGACGGACAGAGAACGTGACTAAAATGGCGGGAGACATTATGGGTGATGACGTAAATAACTTGCCAATGTCTAGAGCTTTTTTAAAGAACCCTAACAGGACACTGGTGCTACACAGATCACAAATAAGATTTATACCTATATTAGATGATATCGATAAAGAGTGATTTTTCATAATGAGCACTAAAATAAGGCTTGAAATTCAAAATGGAGTCTTTGTAGTCAAGTCTACGTGTATGTAGATAACGGTAACTATGTCACACAAAACTTTTGGTGCTCATGGCGTAACCGGCCCCTTTGTACTTTTACGTTCAAACTTAATAACGAAGTCAAAACTTGGACTTACCCAAACTTTCTCTCTCTTCTCTTGCTAGATTTTCGACTTCCTCGACTAGGTCGAACTTCTTACGGGCCCTCAAAAACGACGACAGCAGACTCAGATCACCGACCGGTAGTTTCGCATCTGCCTCCAACATGTTGAACATTTCATGAGGAGTCGCCTTTTCAACTTTAGCTGCTCCAAGGTGCCCATCTTTAACTAGGGTGGCTCGTAGTGCTTTAACGTGACGTCGAGAAAGGCTGTCAGAAACCTTGTTGTACAGCAGGTTTCGTTTAGATAGACCAGCCATTTTCTAGGCCCTTTATTTTCATCTCACCTTTGCCCTTCAAGATGGCGCCAACAGGTGGAATGCAGACGTGACCTTTGTGGTGTCGTGTGTCATACTTCGTTGACTTTGTGGGTGTGGTGCTAGGGAGCAGACCAAAGACTTTGTATTATGACTTGTAATGGGCCTGGGCTTGCTTAAATTTACAAGTTGTCGTTGAAGCCATTTCGATCCAAAGTCTTCAAATGTTTTATTGTATCTTCACAAGAACACCTATTGATTCAAAGTTTAACGTATCATCGTTGTTTTGACTCGATGACTTAACACTTTCACTTTAAAAACCGAGCCAAGCAAACTATATGCAAGCTTCTTGCGAGATTAAAGTCTAAACTTTTTAGGACCCGTTTGCTAGAGGCGGAGGGACCTTGTGTTTCGGAGGCCGTCCGACTATCTATCAAACAATTGCCCAATGCTACCAAATTAACCAACACAATAAAACATATGTTATTGATCAAATAGTATAGGTCTTTATTTATACAACACAAACACAAGAATAGCATATCATTAACTTCTTCATGGCATCGTGGATGAAGAAACCAACTAGTACTTCACAGAAAACATTCCTGCTGACGATTTGTAAATAAAAAAAAACTATTAAATGTATCTACAGGTTCAACTTCTTCTCACTTCTTGAGGCAGTTGTGGAAGATGTAGAATTGATTAAAAACTCGAGATACTGTGGAATGAAGGTGTACCAAACTTGAAGCACATACGAAAAACAAAAGGCATCTATTGAAAATCAACAGGTGGTTGTTTATGTACGTCTTGGCACTGGCACTAACCCAGGAGGAATCTTCCCTATAGGGGGTGGCAATTTCTCCTTGGGGGCACTCCCTACAATTTTGAAAAACAGCTGATTAAAAGTATTCTGTCCGTATCTTGGATTTCTCTCGATCGGTCCATAAAAATGAGCACCCTGAAAAACCGGAGGAACATCGTTACGGTTGATCTCATCGAAGAAAACTGGGAGAAACTTTTCGTGAACTTTTGGGTCTGCAAGTTGAGCGTAGATGACTTTGCCTTCGAATCTGACTTTGTATTCTGATGTAGCCTCCTCGTCCTTTTTACCAGTGACACACTGGAGGTAGTTTGGTGTACAGATCATTAACACGTAGTCGGCCATGTGGATTTCATCCTCTGTCCACCTGGTCCAGAGATTGGGTGGGTTTTGTTCTACGTATTGGTCGATGACACAGTCTATGCCGTTGTGGCGGAGCGCGTCTGCCAGAGCACGGACCCTCTCTCTCTGTAGCGCCGCGTGCGAGTCACGTTGTCTCGCTGTGCGGCTCGTATCGGTGTACGGATCCACTGTGTAGCTGATGAACACTAAAAGTATAAAAAAAGAAATCGGAAATATTTAGACTTTTTGTAAATTTCTTGCCTTATTCACTACTGGGAACTTGTCTGTTTGCGTCTATGCAATTCCCACTGGCACTCGGGCAAAGGGCTCCCGGCCAACTTCTTGCTGGCCCCCGACCAGCTTCTGGGACCAGGCTTCCTGTGCCTGACCTTTTGTTGTGGCCTGTGGTTAGGGAATTTCACCCACCCACGTGTTGTTTATTTCCAACACTTCTTCTACATCTATAAGTAGCCATGCAAACCATGTTTGGATAGTCTATTATGTATAAATAACAGTTGTTAGTGAGCCCCGGCCTTGATTTAATTTAGACGTTACTTGCTTATCAGTTTTGAGTCTCATAACTACATCGCGGACTTACAAGAACATGTTACCTCTCTTGTGTTCTGGGTTCCTTTGCATCTGTGCAGGTCCAGATCCTCGCAGTCTCTTGATCTTGAACTCTTCCTCATGTTCTATATTCGGAGAAAAATATTAAAATGTCATGTCGTCTTGATGGTATTAAAATATATACCTATATCATGGCATATGATATATACTATGTCATAGCATGTAAAAGTAAGACCGTTGAAGATGACAGTTTTATACACATACTGTACCTATGATAGCGTCCACAACATCCATACGGCCCACAGTTTCCAGTGCCTCTTTCAGCACATCTAAAGTCGCCCCCCTCCCCCTCTGTCTCCACTCCTCCAACATGTCCATACAGGCGTCCCGCGGGTCTCTGTGTTTGTAGGTAAACACATCTATAGCCGGCTCATCAAAGTCTAGCGCACGGGCCAAGTCTTTCCAACGGACGCCGAGTTTTTCCTTGATCAGCAGGAATACCCTTCTCAAATCTGGGGAAAGAAAGAATATATCATTATAAGGAAAAATCTTTACCCACATATAAACAAACGATAAACCGTGTCATTGCTTGATTGATTGATAAATATATCATTCAGTTACTTCTTAGAACATTAACCTGTGGTATTGTACATGTAAGTACAACCACATGAATTCTAAAATTGTTTAGATTCCATGAATACACAAATAGATATGATATCTATACAACTATGTTATATTAAAATAACATGGACGAACCTGTGGCTTTTGAACCATAGGGACCCTCGTCTTCTTGCTGTCGTTTCCAACCTACCCCAGGTGTTTTACCTGTACGTACAAAAAATAAGCATACACGAAATATATAGTACAAGAAGTATATAGTATCAAAACCCTAATGTATGTAAGAAATAACATTGCATGGTCATTTGGTTGTTTTTCTCATGTCAACTTTCTGATTTTAAAGTATTTCAATTTAATATCTGAATCGGTGTGTATATATGAATGATTATGCTAACCGTAATAGCTTTTGCTTTCGATTTTAGCTTTTGTACGGAAAATGTTAATGTTTTTTTTATGTTTAGCAGTCAATTTCTGTGATATCGCTTCATCAATTCAGCCTTCGGACTGCAACTGAAATAGTTGGTGTCATAATTAAACAATCTAAAATGGTTTTGATACGAACTTTCTATTATATCCACCACATCCTGATGTTTACACCCGACCAGTGCGTCCTTCAGTCTGTCCAGTGTCGCCCTCCGTCCGTTCATCCCCACCCACTTGTCCAGCACGTCCCGACAACACTGGGTCGCGTCACCCCGTCTCTTCTGGTCCGCCTCTTCGATGTCCGGGCCAGGAATGTCCAGTCGGTACGCCAACTCTTTCCAATGATGTTTGGCGTTGTCCACAACATCGTGGAAAAATTGCCGTACATCTGGAAGAATCCATAGTTGTAAAAGTTCAAGCTTTGTTCCAACACAAAAAGGAACTCACCATAAATTTTCTCATCGGTCGATCTCAGCGTCAACTTGTAATCTACCAACACAGATGAGCTCTCATTGGACTCGTTTGGAATTTGAGTAAAGCTAAGGTATTAGTGTAAGTGTCACGTAATACAAAATGGGAATCATTGAAACTTTCTTACATGTTGCTGCAATAGTCCGTAACTTATATAGCTATAATTTAAACTTTAAGATATTTTAATGTTCAAGCCTTTTGGATAGCGCCATACACTGTAAACTCCCATACAGTCTTTCCTCTCGGAAATATATTTGACGATGATACTGTGTCATAGTCTTGTACATGTATGGATGAAGAAATACGTAAACAGCTACATGTATGTGTGACTCGTCCGGTGTGAGACTATTGTATTTTCAGTTGCACACTATGTTTTTGCTTTGGCTTGTTCCACCAATATCTTTTTGCTACTAGTACATTGAAGTGCGGGAGAGCGACAAAAACGCAGATTTTGTTATATTTTCCCATTGCAAATATTTTCCTGTTAATGGCTTTACTCCAGTTTTATAACGGAAAGTCAAACCTTATATTCTGACACCAAAACCCGGAAGTAACACCTTTTCCAACATCGAAACTTGTTTCAACAACGTTAACTGCTAGATTTTCGATACACAAAACTCTTGAAATCCCCTCTTTATACTTCCCCCTTTAAACACACTTAACGCTTGTGAAAATAAGCAAAAGCTCGGTGCATGTAACTCCAGTAAAATCTTACCTGTTTCTTGTGCCCAAGCCATGGCGAATACTCGTTGGAAAGACCACCTGCTGTCACGTGATTACCTGGCTTCCCGCGTATACAACACGGCCTGCTATTGGACGACAGCTTGGAATGAACTGCCAAAGTCCCCCCGTCACCTCATAAACTACTTTTATTTTTACATCACATGAGGCGGTATTAGCGAAAGTAATGTGTAGAAAAGGCTTACTTTTGTCGTGCTGGCAGGATCTAGAAAGCAAACAATGACAACTAACTCAAGATCACTGCATCCAATCACAGCTTTCCTTTCATCGTGCACTTTGCAGGTGAGAGGGAAAGGGGCGTGGCTCAAAATCAAATGCTTCAGCATTTTCTACCCAAGAACGGTTAGGACATTTAAGACAAGCTTTTCAATAATTTTACATTATCATCCATGCATGTTACAACGTTATCTGCATTGCATTACCTGCAATATAACCTTGGTCGCCTGGTGGAGCCTCCTGAGCAGCTGCAAGTTGACAGTGACATCCCCCTTCACTAGTGGAATAGTCCTCTGACCTTTGTACCAGTGAACGTGAAAGCTCGTAAACCGTGTCTGCTGTCCAGATTTCTTCAGGTATTAACCAGTTTATATCTTACTGTTGTAGTAATGGGTGTATTAGAATGCCTGGCTTCCAATTGCCAGAAGTTGGGGAAGGTAAAGAGCTTATTAATTACAACTAGCTACTCACTCACTCACTCACTCACTCACTCACTCACTCACTCACTCACTCACTCACTCACTCACTCACTCACTCACTCACTCACTGACACTCACTCACTGACACTCACTCACTTACTCACCCACACATCCACGGCCCACCCACCTACCCACTCACTCACTCACTCACCCACTTGCTCGCTCGCTCACTCACTCACTTGCTCGCTCGCTCACTCGCTCACTCACTCACTCACTTGCTCGCTCACTCACTCACTCACTCACTCACTCACTCACTCACTCACTCACTCACCCACCCACTCACTCACCCACTTACCCACCCACTCACTCACTCACTCACTCACTCACTCACTCACTCACTCACTCACCCACCCGCCCACTCACCCACTTGCTCGCTCACTCAATCCTCATGCATTTGGTGCGTCAAACCATCTAGTTTGTCTTAACTAGCTTTATCTAGTTTTGAGTGAATTTAACTAGTTTGTAGTCGACTAATTTACTAGCTAGTCTGCAGGTTATCATACATAAACCCAGTAAAATTAGATAAAGTAGGGTCTACGCACTCTGTAAGTTTGGAAAGTTTGGATTGAGCTTGGAACAGCAATTTTCAGCTGTTATTTTTCAAAAACCGAGAGTGATCATGTCAAGTAATTCGGTGTCATTCTATTCTTAAATGTATTTCTTTTCATCATGGTTTTTAGGACCATCACACAATGTTAACAAAGTTGATCCACATCACCAGCAGACTCCATCCTGTTACCATGGTAACTAGACACCTGACATCATCATCATCATCAGATGACCTCTGGCTGTCCTCCAGTTACAAGTTTTTCCTGCCCACACCGACTCGCTGGATGGACAATGACCAGTTCGGACATGTTAACAACACCACTTACTACTCTTACTTTGACACAGTTATCAACAGGTATCTATATAGCCAGTATAACCGCCCTTTGTCGTAACACACCTGTCCAGCTTCTGTATCTGTATAGTTGGTATAACCGCCCTTCGGCATAACACACCAGCTTCTGTATCTGTATAGCCGGTATAACCGCCCTTTGGCATAACACACCAGCTTCTGTATCTGTATAGCTGGTATAACCACTCTTCGGTGTAACACACCAGCTTCTGTATCTGCATGTGTCTAGCCGGTATAACCGCCCTTCGGTGTAACACACCAGCTACTGTATCTGTATAGCTGGTATAACTGCCATTCAGTGTAACACACCAGCTTCTGTATCTGTATAGCCGGTATAACCGCCCTTCAGTGTATCACACCAGCTTCTGTATCTGTATAGCCGGTATAACCGCCCTTCGGCATAACACACCAGCTTCTTTATCTGTATACATTTGTAGCTGGTATAACCACCCTTTGGCATAACACACCAGCTTCTGTATCTGTATAGCCGGTATAACCGCCCTTCGGTGTAACACACCAGCTTCGCAGGCATGCAGCGCGGCGGCAGCTGATTTTATACTACACCAAACAACTTGTTGTAACACCCAACTTTTGAACATCTCACTCTAAACATTGTCTAAAGCTATCTACTGATAATGCCCCTACTGTACTTGGTGACAGCGAGTTCCACTCTGTGATAGTTCTAGGAAAGAATGAGTTTTTGAACACCTAAATCCTTGGTTGATAACTCTGACCAGTACTTGAAGGCTATTTCTTGTTCTTTTCTGGGCTGGTATTAGGTACTTAGTAGTTGGTACATCCACCAGTTTATTAGTCATTTTGTACATCATGCATAGTCTGGACATTTTTCGTATGTCTTCCAGTGACGCCCACTATAGGTATCTTTTCATTTCTGTCCTAAGGTACCTCATACACCACTGCCACATCAACTATGACATCATCCGGGGCCTAATGGTCCACAACGAGTGTGACTATAGGCGTCCGCTGCAGTACCCTGACGTGCCTGTGGTGGGGATGTTTGTGGGGAAGATCGGGCGGTCCAGTGTGACATATAACGTGGGCCTGTTTCCTTCTGCCGTGCTGAAGGGTGTATCAGGAGAAGTCATGAAAATTATGGACAAAGGGTTGTTTGCGTCAGAGCTCACTAAAGGTGGACTTACGGAAGATGTGACTGCATTGGCTGTGGGGTCGTGCGTACACGTGTTTGTGGACACACGGACAAACAAACCTACACAACTCCCAGAAAACTTGAAGACGGGTCTTCAAAAGATTCTGAGCAATGTTGAAAGTCAACTTTGAAAAATTTCTAACATTTTACTTACTAGAAATTTTACAACACAAGATGACAGCTTGTCCATGTACTTGTTGTGTACACTATATCTGTGTACGTTTTGGAAACAAATTTTAGGTACATGCATGTTTACATGTAGGTACATGCCTAGATTCTGGACCTGGAACTTTTCCTAAACGAGTTTGGCCAATCATGAGCAAGTTAAAAATGCCGCTAACAATATTGTCTTTTTTCACGGTAAGATATTAGTTTTCTAAAGCTTTCAATTGATTATTTTTACATAGATTTTCCCATATGTGTCTACTAGTAGTAAAAATAAATTACGACCAAAAAAGTACAAGTGTATGTAACTTTATTATATCATGTACAACAGTTAAACTTGACCATTTGACACAGTGAAAGATGCTTGGAGTAGAATAGAGGCAAACACCTTGGCATCATGTAACATTAAAACCAATGCACCATTGCTTATTGAATGTACATTGTGGAAAACATACATAGCTTAAAGAAATTTGTTATCAAATGCCTTTCGAAGTGTATTTCCAACTTTCGACTTGATACCCGCAATCTACAACAGTTATCAAACGCAGATCGATATTGTAGATGTGTCATAACCTTCTTTTTATGGTTTTTGAAAGATGACACATAACTGCTACGGAGAAATATTAGAGCGTTCGAAATATTACAAGTAGGTACAGATTGAATATTCTACCATTTCTATCCAAGATATGTGAATTTTTTCCTACGTTGTATGCAAAACCGTGTCCATTTAGAATTAATGCTGAATTAAAGGTCTGCATATGTTCAAATGATAACAAAACTTTAACAATTATAAACAAGATGAACTTGAAAACAAACCTAACTCTAAACATGAATGTGACTTGATTCTGTATCCTTCTACAAAAATAAAGACGTGGAAAGTTTTGCCTTGGAAGTGCGGTTGTTAGTTGGTTAATACATGTAATATGTACATTTAATAACAGAAGTGATATTTTACATGGCAGATCATAGAATGAAATTCTCCAAAATCGACATCTACAATAATTATACTACCTTCCAGGTACACAAGTTAGTAAGTATATTTCTAGGCTTTTATCTTAAGTGTTTAGCCTTCCTTACTTAGGAAGATGGGTCAAAGATCTGTCATTAGATGGGACTGAAGATGGCATGACAAGATAAAGGATGGCATGACAAGATAAAGGGTACTGTCTAAAGCATGCATATCTGATTCCCTGTCACCATGATATTTATAATCGTGTGTACATGAACACCAGAATGCCAAGAATGTTTTTCATACCATTTTTTCATAGTCATTTGAAAGTCATAGTCATAGAAAAAAATATCGGGGGGAACAAAAGGAATGACTAAAAATGTAACAAAATGAAGCTTACATGTACAGTTAAACTTGTCCAAGAAAACCACCTAGAGACCTATAGAATCTGGTCTTTTCCAAACTGTCATTTTCTCCTTATTTTCTTTTCTGGCTCAGCATGTTTTGCAAAGGTTAATATTGTTGAAGTGATTCATCATTCTACATGAAATAATACTGCTAATATTTTACAAATTCACTGTCAGAGTACTGTCTCTTGGCATACAGATACAATGGAAGAATCTAAAACATATCACCATACTAATAACAAAAGAATTTAGTGCTGTGTACCTAAACTCATGTAACTCATGTTTAGGTCCGGATTCAAGTTCAGAGGTTTAGGTTTAGGTCTCGACTTGTAAGCCCGGACCTGGGTTCCAGACGTTCAGGTTTTTTTTTACTTGAACCTGAACCATTTTTACAAGTTCGGAACTAGTTCCAGCGAACCGGTACACAGCACTAAAAGAATTGCTAGTTTGATTGACGTTTTGACTTCTATCTGACGCGTTTCTGCTGTCGGCTGCGGTAGATATCGTGAGCGGGCGGCGCAACGTTGTCTTCGTCATCGGACTCTTCCTTGGCTTCGTTGTCCGCGGGACGTTTCTGGCCCTTCTTCGCGGAGTCAGAATTTTGCAGCGGGATCGGGAACAACTTTGGGTTGGAGGTCTCTTCTCCATTGCACATCTTGTCTAACAGTTGAGAGGGATCTGGAATACACAAAGAACACAGAATTAAGACTGATTCAACACAACAGCAGAACAACATTACTCTCTATAATTTTATAGTATTTGTAACATAGATGGTACAATGTACATATCCAACATTTGACAAGTACATGTATTGTGGATCTGTGCTTAAAATCAAAACAGAAGAAATCCTACCTTCTGGCAATGCACAGGTCTCAAAAGTCTTCACCAAGTCATCAATGTTAACAAAGGGACCCTGTAACATGGGGAAAGAGATCATTGGTAACAGGTGGTTGCAAGTGGTTTTAACTGTTAAAACTCCGTCAATAACTGAACAAATTTTGTAGAAGAATTTAAACAAAAAATTTTTTGTCAAGCCCTGCATATACATGTATCTGTAAATGTGTAGCCAGTATAACCGCCCTTCAGCATAACACACCAGCTTCGCAGGCATGTGGCATGGCGGCAGCTACGTGTAGCTATATTACACTGAACGACTTGTTACACTCAATCTTTGCACATTTAATTGCAGGAGTTGTTTAAAGCTTTCTAGTGATGGTGCCCCAACTGTGCCTTATGGCAACAAGTTCTACACTACGATAGTTCTTGGAAATACGAGTTTTTGAACACATCAATTCTTGGTTGATAACTCTGACATTTGAAGGCATGACTGTTTGTTTTTTTTCTTTTCTGGGCTGGTTTCAGATACTTAGTGGTTGGTACGTCCACTAGTTTACTAGTCATGTAACACAGTACATGTATGTGGATACTCACATGGAAGCAGGTTGGAGGGGGCATGAGGTTGAGCAGAGAGACTGCTGGGATTGGCATGGGGAACACACCACCAGGAACAGGGTGCATCCCAGGAGCTGGACATGGGGGAACAAGGTAACCATTTTATAACATCCTACAAAAAGTAGTTACCCATTTTATACCACAATTTTACATCTCATGAAGACACATTTGAAATTAAAACTTTTTTTTCAAAATAAACAGATTTTTTAAAATGAAACAAATTTGAACTGTGAATTACAATATGGTCATTGTCAAGAAAATGAACTTTCAAGCTAAGATTTGAAATAATTATTGGCAAGATTTGCTTGAAAACTATCAGAATATACTTAATACTTACGAGCCAGAGCTCTGGGCTTAAAGGGCAGCATCTGATCAGTGGCAGGTTTTGGGTACTCAGGTTTCTTAAACTCGTCAATCTCTGGTAGGACGGCTGCAGGCATCTCAGCACCTGTCACCATGTCAGCGGCAGTCTGCAGAAACATAACATTCATGGGGTTAAAGATACTACATTAGCAAGCAAATGCAGGATATTACCTCCAATCTTTATCATTTATGTGCCTGAGCATTGAAAAAAATCTTCCTACACTTAAACGTTGAGTAGCACAGAATGTTATGGTATTCACAACTTTGGTAGCAAATAATTTAATTGCAGTGTTGTTTCCAAGCCTTAATCAATTACTACAAAAGGAAAGAAAACTGTACACATGTAAATGTAACTTTTGCAGTGGTTTTATTTCAATGTATGAGGTAAATGGAATGTTTTAAGTTTACAGACGTTGGAAAAATTCATTTTTGCAAGGTCTTACTTTCTCATAATATAATTACACCGAGAAAAAAAAAACGCAAGCATTTGACAATTTTTGGTACATTACTAGTACAGGTGTCAAGTTAGTGAAGTATTTCACATAGTAAATGTTGAATACCGTGCTACATTCACACAAATACAAATGTAAGGAGAAAAGTGAACCTACAGGTCGTAGTTTGAAGCCCACAGCCTTGAGTTCTGAAGTAGACAGGGGAAACAGGTCGAGATACTTGTATCTGTCCACCAGAAGACACGTTTCACGATCCTCAAACTCCTACAGAACAAGAAGGAAAGATGTAAAATTAGTCAGAACACAATATCATATTTTTCTTCCTAACATATATTCATAATACAGCACATAATACACATGTATGGACAGGGGTATCTAAAAAAGTACTTTGAGACTCAGTTTACATATAAAAGCAGAAATTGTTTGTACATGTGAGCTACTAAAATGTGTCCTTGGCTTTGGCAAAAGTAATTTCACTCAGATTCGTGAATCCAACTTCAAAGTAACTGTTTTTGTGACTTCAACTTTAAAGTAGCTATTTTTAAACTACAACTTTAAAGTAGCTGTTTGGCTACCAACTTTCTATTGGCTATGGGGTTAGGCAGCAAGGACAAGATTGGAAAAAATTATGATCACGGCACATTTGGATTGCAGGAAAAGTTTCTTAAAAATTGCTACCTCTTTGAAGATGTCTCTCCGTCTTTTCTCGACCTTCAGGACAGAGGAAAGGTCACCGATACTGCATTCAAACTCCAGGAACTTGGCCCAGATCTCACTGGAAATACAACAACAACAAATTGTAGATTCATTAACCATTAGCACACTGAAGTAGCCCTTTGGCTACCAATTCTCTATTGGTTACAGCATTAGGCAACAGGGAGAAGGTGTGTATATTCACCTTGTCTTGTGTTGGTGAAAATGATTTCTTTTTACTTGACTTTTGAAAAAGAAGATACAAACTGTACTGTACTACACAAGCCATATGTGTTAACAATGTAAAGGAGTGGTGCATAGGTATTGACTAATGTTTTTGATAACTCACCCTTGTTTGTCCACAGGAAGAGCCCCTGAAGTCAGCACCCTTTCAAACAGCACACGAGTATTGTTGTCCTCTGGAAACAACATATTATAACAATCATTATTTGATTAACAGGCCAAAAAAGTGTATATAAACAACATATGTGCTGTAATGGGTACTGCAAGTCTAACTTGTTCTAGGATCTGAAATTTAGACCAGTGTTTCAGAACTAGGCACACATCTTCAATATCATAAGATACTGCCAGATTATGGTCTTCTAACTAAGAAACAACATGACAATACAAGTATCATCTTACTTAAGAAAACAACTCACCATTAAGATGTGACAGGAAGTCCAGGTACTGCAGGATGTAGTCTGCACTGTCACTGTACTTCTTCAGACCCAGCTCAAAAATCTTACAGGCTATGCTCTTATCCTGTAAGACACAAAGCAAGGAAAATGTAAGTTATGAAGTAGCAAGGTTTAGCACTCAAAGAGTTCAAATCCCTGTGATACATTGTAAGTCTATACATTTTACTGAAAAGGGTTTACTTGCTTCAAGTTGCTTGTAATCAGTTTTGAGGAAAGTTAGGGGGTCAAAAATATTAGAGCAACTCTTTCTTGCATCAAAACGTATCGGTCAATTGAAAACTAACAATTTATGCTTTCATAACTTAATGTGTTATAAGAAAAAACAAAAGTTGTTCACACATAAACAAGCATGCACACAGATACTCAATATAAAACCATCAAAAACATATTCTATCTTGCTAAATTACTTAAAAATAGCGTAATGTACACATACCTTACTACAGAAGTACTCCATGAGTGCAGCGGACACATAGACATGATACTTGGACCGGCTGTCTTCTCTGGCTCTCTTAAAGATGCTCCGGGCAGACTTGATGCCTTCTGCTCTCCTGGCAAACTTCATGTACTGGATATAACCCTGATATAGAGACAACACGGCAATCAGAAATGGCAGACTTCAACCCCTTACCCATACTGCTTTGCAAATCTTTCCAGACCCACAGATGAAACTAGAAATGTAACATTTGCAAAGCAAATGCATAATGTTTACCTTCGCATATGGTCTGATTGGTTGACAAATACATTCATCTATATGGTCCGACAGAAGTATAAATCCCTCTTCCTATAAAATTGCAACATAATGTAACCCAACACCAGTTACCATGGTGAGAGACATCAACAAATCAGGTCATTAGCCAGGTCAGAGGTCAGTGTTTGGAACGGAAGGAGGGGAAACGTAGCAAAAACAAAATGTCTTCCTTTGGTAAACATAAAAAGCAGCACTAAGTATGTATGGTAATCTTGTGTGGTGTACATGTATATACATGTACACCACACAAGATTACCATACATACTTAGTGCTGCTTTTTATGTTTACCAAAGGAAGACATTTTGTTTTTGCTACGTATATATATATATTGATTGAATAACACACAGACACACTGACTAACACACAATGCAAAGGCAATGCTTTACTTTTCTCAGCAATGAAACTTCACACAATGACTTAAAACAAGTCAAGTCAAGGCAATACATGCCAAATACTCACCAGTGTTGGGTCGATGTCATCTATGCCCAGAAGCTTGTTGTAGATGGAATGGACTTTCTGATGCTTCATTCGATTCTAAAAAATACAAAAGAATGTAGAATGTGAGGTAGGCTAGGGTAGGCCTGGAAACATGGGAAACTGGAAACACAACATATTTTCCTTGGCCTAGTGTCAAGCGGTGCAATGGCCAAGTGGTAGAGTGCTCGCCTTGCATTTGATAGGTCATGAGTTCGATCCCCGGCCAAGTCATACCAAAGACTTTGAAAATGGTACATACAGCTTTCTCTGCTTAGCACTCAGCATTTGAGAAGAATATATTGGGTGTTAAACACACACCACTACCAGTGGACTAGCACCCTGCTGTAGTGATTGCACAACTGTGTGGCCCAAGGGCTAAAGAAATGCTACCAATGCCAATGGTGGCAGAGAGGACTTTATAGTATAGTATAAGGCCACACCAATTTAATTTCTTGGTTAACGGATTCGCCCGCTTCATCTTTTTCTGATTTTGCAAATAAAAATAAAAATTCAGAATCAACTGCAAAATGCTCATATTTTGCCCTGAACAGTGGAAAACAGTCCTTTTCTTCCTAGCTGTTACAGTTATTCCATCTTTCAATGCAGTGGTATCATTAAAAGTTCAAAATTCATTGTTTAAATTTTGAACCAGCCTGGTGTGTTGACTTCATGGCTACTATCATACCATTTTGGGCCATAATAGGATGCCTAGGCCTGTTTTTATTTTTTATTTTTTTTCGCCCGCCCGCTCCATTATTTTTCTAGAAAAATCTGTTGACCAAGAAATTAAATTGGTGTGGCCTAAAGTAGGGTTATGTTTTCCATACCTCTTCAAAGTCAGCGTAGGAGAAGTACAGCATCATGTTCTTCTTGAGTAGCGTGGAGATGGCTCTCTCATACATGGCCGCTGCCTCATCACTGAACATCTTACCTGCATTCAAGTCCTGGGAAAGGGCACAGAAACAGTGGGATTGTCAGCACAGAAATACAGTCATGTATTAGAGATGCATCCTAGTTCTAGATCTAAAGGTAAAGGGCCCATAGCTTTCATGAGGCAAGGGCTTGAAATACCACCTGCATATGGAGCTATGCATGTATTTCTGAACCTAACATGCACTGGTTCGTGTACTGGGTTTACATATAATTGTACATGTACAATGTAGGTGTATGTGCACCAGTGCAGGTATGCAGAAAAACTATTTCAAGCCCTCTAGAGACCATATGGGCAGTGGATTGTTAATCCACTGTGTCTAGAGTAGAGCATGGTATTGGTAGCTATAGGTAGAGCCCATCTCTCTCCTTCCACTGCCTTTTATCTGCCCAACCAAAATAAGATGCCCATTTTACATCTACACCTACATCAGTACATGTAGGTGGAGTGAAGAAATCTGTGTAAAGTGCTTTTCCCGTGAACCCAATGTCTAGCTAGGAATGCTAGGAATCGAACCCATAACCTTTCGATCTTGTGTCTGCTCGCCAAGCTATGGTACCTTTGATGCCACAAACGTGTACAAGTGTAAGAATCACATTACTACTTTCTTCAAAATCTTGTATCAAACCCAATGTTTGGTAAGGAAAAATATTGTTGAAGCTTTTCAGACTCACCCCCTTCTCAGACAGGAGCTTGCTGGACTCCTCCAGGTACTTTGCAGCCTCATACCAGATGTCAGGTCGGTGGCCCAGGCACAACATGCACTGCTCGTACGCAAATATTACTACAACAAACAAACAAACAAAACAACATAACTCATGATATGGTCCTGTACATTTTACCACACAGAAAATTATCTTGGATCCTGCTATTGCTGTATGGCTTGATTGAGTGACAGAAGAGCTTGACAGTTATGATCATATCCTTCCAACTTGACCTTCAGGCCTATCTGTGGTAACCAACCACCCCTTCCTACCACAGTGACTCTACTTCATGAGAACAATTTATTGTAAGTTGGAGGCTCTAGCTTTTCTAATACATTTCAAGTATTTTTGGTTTGTCCCTTACAACAATATCAACCTATTACAAATACAATAACATTTTTAACAGTTTGCATTAGCAGAATGGCATGTGAAAGACAAGAACATACCTCTCTTTGCGATGACAGCGTGGTCCTCTGTTCTCAGTGGATTGCTCTTCTCCCAATTGATGTACTTTTTCCAAAGGTCAACCTAAGAAAAAAAAACAATCTTTATAGTTAGCCATCATATTTAGAGGCTTCAAAAAGTGGACAAAACACTAGAGGAGATCTTTTTAGACATCCTTATTACCCTTATACTTTAATTAGTAAAGCATGTCTTTAACCTTCCCCAATAGAGATAGCTAAAGGTTAGAAGTACTCTACATTTCCCCTTACCTGTTTGACTTCGTCTGGTGTACCAGTAGGTGGAATGGACGGCATGTTCCGGTTCAGACCTCTGGTTACAGCTTCATACTCCTGGTAAGGACAAAGGCTTTAGTTAGTCTTCAAGTTTATACCCTCATAATATACTTCCCTTGAGCATGTTAAAGATCCTTCCATACTTAACGAAAAGAACTGGGGTTCTTCCCGGTGTGAGTGGTTCAAATCTTACAGTCTGGTCTTAGGTTTGACATCTTGAAGAAGTGATTATAAGTCACCTGTTATGTCAATCCTTCTACAAATGTGGTATAGCTTCATAAGACTTTCATAATGATTTGGTAAGCAATTTTAACTCAAGCTGGTAGCAAAAGTAGTACATGAAATTGCAGACCTTAGCGACCCGTCTGGCGTTCATGTAGTCCCTACTGCGATCTTCTATCATCTTCTTGGCTATGATGGGGTTGATGCCCTGGGGGAGAGAAAGACAGTCCTTAGTTCAACAACATTTAATCATAATCATATCTGAAACTGCACTGTGCCACTGAATAATGTATTAATCAAATCCTAAAGTATTGTAGATTTTGCAGTTTTTACATTTGTCTTATTGTGTACTCTCTATATTATTACTAGACATAACATTTTTGTAATCTCAAGAAAGTTTATATTATTTTTTTTAGTGCAAACCAGTTACCCTCTTTCATTATTTCATTATTTCATTGCCCTGTTTCATTATTTCATATACAACATGTATATGCATCTTCTGGCTTACATATTGTATATCTATATCTTGAATAACATTGTATTTGAAAGATCTCTTACTAAGTGCAGCACCCCCAGGTATGCACAGTTTACATGTAGATACACCATTATTTTTATAGAAGATCTCATTTTTTTCTGGGTGGCGAATCAGAAATATGTGACCTGAAGGAATAATTATTATGTTAGTAAACGTTATATGACAATTGTACAATCTATATTGATTAAGATAGAAGAACAGTGTTACTCACAGTCTCATACTGGTTGTACTCCCTCCACAGCTGTTCTATGTTGACCATGGGGTTGACACAGCCTCGCTGGTAAACTCTACGCACCGCTGTGATTCGCTGGTTCTCTGCGTACGAACCTACCGCCTCCCTGGAATCAACATTATCTGTGAGCCCATAGAAATACTGAGCAAAAATGAGGCACTGAACTATCTACTAGTAGCATCAGAAACTGTTCTGTCTTTGCAATTGATTAAAAAAACTGCAATACTTACACTCCTTTCAAGAAAGAAATGTAGTCACTCCAGATCTGAAAAGCACAGGAAAGGATCACATTATGATGTGTTTTGGCTAAAACGAGTCAAAACAGTAATGATAATATTTCAGAATGCACAATAAAATTACCCATTTTACATGTAATGTCACATCTATATAATGATACATAGCCATGGTCCTTTGAACTAGACTGTACCTGGTATGACATGATGTCCATCCCCATCTTGTCTAGAGCAAAGTCATATGCCTGTGCCATCTTTTCTCTGGAGAAATAAAGAAGAACAGGTTACATTTCTGGTACTTAACAAAATAGCAAATTGAATGAAAATCAAACTTGAATGATGATCTGTACCTGTAAGATGGCAGACTGCCCTTGGTCTCTCTGACATAGTTCAGGTAACACTTCCACAGGTCAATGTTCAACACCTTCATCAGACATCGCTGGAATAACTGATGGAAGAAAATGTAATTTAGGTTATTAACAATCATAAGCCCAGAACCTACATGTATATCAAAACTTTCCCAGAACAAAATTACAATTTTCAAGTAAAACACTTTTTAGAATGTCTGTCAGTAGACATGCTTTTTTGTCACAGCTTAGCAAATGAAGCATATTAGAAAGCATGTAAAATAGCTTAAACCATATAATTTTCTTCTTGATCACAAAAAAGGAAGCAAACTATACAGAAAGTTATCAGAAATGCCAGTATCTGTAGGTCATGACTGCAATTAATTTGGATACAATACATGTAGCTTTTCTACTAGACCTGTTTAATCAACCAAGTTCTTTATAAAAAAATTATATGGCAGTCTTTTTTTTTTTTTGCAAACGGCCAGAATATTACAACTGGAAAATCAATGTGGCAATCTGTCAAATCAAATATGTCATAAATTTGGAGAAACTACTTTATGGAGTGACTTACCTTTTCAACTCTTTCATAGTTCCTGGCTTTCATCTGCAAACAAAGAATTGGGAGTCCTTTAACTTAACTGCTGGATACACAAGGCATGGTGAACAGTACTTTCTTTGTGTGACAGAAACTTTTTCTTGCCTATATGGACTGACTTGAGGTACCAATGGATGCCATGTTCATCTGACATGGCATGGGTAGATTTTGCTGATGTATATTTTGTGATCCACACTTATGATTGTGTACATGCGCACTCAACAATCTCACTCACACCTGTAACAATCCATTGTGTCCATGAAAAAGGGCAGGTATATTCACCCATGTGATTTGCTGTCCACAACATGAGGATATTTGTGAACTTTCAAGCTATGATAGTATATGGGTATTGCCACACCGATTGCCTTCCTCTGTAGTCCACATGGTAGCTAGTGACAATAGGGAGCCAGCGGTAGCTACGGTAGCCTCTACCAAGCTTCGGGAGGCGGCTGGAAAGAGTAGAAATTGGCCAAATAGAGAGATAACATGCCAGGGAAGTTGGTCTGCTGGGGAGAACAGATTGCCACTCATTATTATTTGGCCGATTTCTACTCTTTCCAGCTGCCTCCCGAAGCCTGGTAGAGGCTTTAAGCTACCAGGCACCCAGGCTGCTCTTCTTGAGTTCAGTGGAGTTCAGTACAGTGCCGACTCATATATGCCGCAAAAGGCCAGCATGTGCAGGCTTGAATAATACCAGCTTTATATCCCTGTGGTTTAGGAGCATTTATTGTATTCACCTATACGCACTAGTTAACTTATGTTTACCTCTCCTTATTGGGTTGGTTTGTGGATAACTCACAAAAGATAGGAGTCCTTTATTTTTCTTTATATTGCATCAAATGAGATTGAAAATTGACAGAATTGCTAAGATATTTCATGTATTAGATCAAGGAATCCTCCCTATTATCAGATAGATCATATCTACCTAAGTAGCAACCTTAATTCTTTTCTCAAACACTTGAAAATCCTTCGCCAAGGAAGTCAAATTTGGGAAAATACATAGGTTGCCTTCGTTGGTAGAAATTTACGCCCAAATGATTACATCTACTTTTTCAAACACGTTGATCAATTACAAAATACAGAATTCTTGCTTTGATCTGTTTGTTGTAATACAACATCCTACCAACAGGGGGCATTGCAGATCAGATGTGAGGAATTTGCAGGAACTACCAAACAATAAACTCCAACTATTAACCTTTTGTCATGCTGCCTGAAACTGTGACTCATACAAATGGATGAAGGTTTAACTTTACGCACTAATTTTGTTTTCAGACAAATTGGAGAAAAAGAATATTGCAGCTTGCAATTCATCTTCAATCTAATGTTACTGTCAGTTTTGTAGAATACAAAATCTTTGTTGTGCAGTTCACAATTTTGCAGCTTTAATTCAAGTATGGCGACTCCATTACATGTAACACTTGGCACTAATAAAGCATCACTGCCCATTAAATTGGCCTGTCACATGCAACTCATCTGGCTTCCAATATACATCCAAATTTACTCGCCAGTTCCTAACGACACATTAAGTCCTGAGATTTCAATGAGTTTCTGATTCCAATTGCAAGTTTTTCAAGTTCTACAATGCTTCATTGTGGTCACTGACATCAGTGTTCAGGGCTTGAAATACTGGGTGCATGTGCACCTTAGTGCACCCAAATTTGGAGCTGTGCACCCAATTTTTTTCTGTGGGTGCACTGGTGTAGCCTGGGTTCCATCCTGGTTAGTTTACGTCCGCTCCCACAGTCCCTACCACCAACTGTGGGAGCAGATGTAAACTAACCAGGATGGAACCCAGGCTAGCACTGGTGCACCCAAATATCTTTCTAGGTATTTTTGTACATATTAAATGTATACAGTAATACAGGATACTCTTGGCATCTACGTATCAGAAAAATAATAAAATCTTTGTTGTAGTACTTGTTTACTTAGCTATCATTTCAGATTCAAGCTCAGAAGAGGTGCAGTAAGATCTGTAATTAGGTCATTTTTGTTTTATACGGTGCACCCCAAAAAAAATTGTGCACCTGATTTTTTAGGTTGGGTGCAGCACCAGTGCACCTATTCTCAAAAATGAATTTCGAGCCCTGATGTTTATTTGAAGAAAATTATCATTTTCAATAGTGGGTTCCCCAAAATAGACTATAAAGCCTCTGAATATTGGAATAAAAATGTATCAAGCAACTGATAAATTACATCTAAAGTCAGACATTTCTGATAGCATCCACTTTCATCAGTGACTGAGGATGAAAGACAGTGGCTGCCATCTGGAAAATCTGACTCCAGAAGATATATTCAGCTGCTTGATACATTTTGTTATGTAATGTTTTATATTTAACTGCATGTCTAGTTTTCATTTTCGCAACTATAGAATTTTTTTAAGCATTTAAGGCCTATGTCCAAAACCGTAGGTACCTTTTAAATGCAATGTTTATTTTAGAATGTGACCAGGGCATAGATTATCCTTTTTACTGACAGTTGCAAACTGTTTCATAACTGCCAAATGTACTTTTATGAAGTAATGGAGATATACAGTCCAATAAACACAATGACACAAAAAATGGACAACATGAGACAAAAATGTTTATAGTCATCCTAATAACTACTATCTATATCTGATGGTGGTTAAAATTTGAAAAACCTGCAAATAGTAGTTACAAATTTACTACTGAACAAATACATTGTACTCTAGCTTATCAAGGCTCACAATACTAGTATACTGAATTGGCAGCTAACATTATTTGTAATATGGGTATGTCTGCTGTCAGAAAAATTGTACTACAAAGTTAAGTGAGAAAAATCACATATAGAAGACTGCTGAAGGTGGGCAAGACATCCTTTGCAACACAGTTCCTTTGGTGAATATGGTACATTTTGACTGCTAGTTATTAGGCCGTGACTTTATACAAGGATTGAAGCACCTGGTCCAGCCATGCTTTAATTTATGATATCCTTGGGGGTACTTAAATATTTCTATTCTTTTACAGCTACAATTCCACTGTACAGTCGAGGATGAGCATTCCAATAGAGCAACTAGTTGTCTATTAACTTTCAGCATGCTAAGGCAGCCACTTGGCACCAAATTTGTATTGGTTATGGGGTTAGGTAGCAGGGAGGTTAAAATGAGCAGTTCCACTGTGGATTTTCATTTCAGTGATATTTCATCGAGGATAAGCCTGGCTTATATGACTTCAGTCAATACATTTACATGTTTTGCTTTTAGCATTGGTTACTTCTTGAGTACTCTTGGAGAAATCTTGAAAGTGGAGGAGATAGTACAGGGTCTTGACGTTTCACAAGAAAATGACATGGTCTTATCTGGTCTGAGGGATCCAAAATGGCCTAGGTGCAAAATGTGTTACGCTTGTCATTTGGGTTCAAGATCTCTGAGACTCTGAATCCTTGAGCTTCTTGAAGGAGCTTGATATAGTCGTAATGGGCTACTGTGTTTGGTTCAAATTACCCACATTAAACAACCATGTTGGCAAAGCGTACCGCACCAGTACGAAACCCTGATTTTTTACGGTTTTCGTTGGACGTTTGGTCAATGTTGCATCAGAATTTTGCCTGTTGCAGACAAGATCTTTTCCGCCACATTTGGAAACTACAGACAATACATATGGGTTTCGCAGTACGTTCTGCCAACATGCTCATTGAATGTATTTTTTCTAAAAAAGGTGCGAACTTTGGATCTAGTATTAGTATCATAACTGAATCGTCCAGGAGCTTTTCTGGAAAAAATTAGCAATAGGCCTTGAGAGAACAGGAAAGAGATGAATGACTGGACAGGGAAATGGTGTGGAAGGACGTTGGGGGCAGTAAAACATTTTGCGCGAAAATTAAGTATTTTTAAAGCCTTATACGTGGGACTTCGCATTGAACTAGAATTCCTGAAGGGCTAGGAGCTACTAAACAGACCGTGGCTTCATCAGATGTCAAGGTCAATATGAATTCTTTGCTTATTCTGGCTTATCGCAGAGATTGTTCAAAGGGTATAGGGACACATTATAATAAGGCAAAGCGCCCCCTATTGAGCCATTGCCTAAGTACAGGTTCCGTTCACCCTCCCAAAGCCCACAAGACAAAAAGCACATAACACCACATTACTCAGTTCCAAATGTTTAATAATGGAACACCCTTATCACCAGTAAAGTTCTTTCCCCTTTTTTAAGTTAAACTTGTCCACATGGATCTGTATGTACTTTATATTTCTAGTTACATACTTGACAAGTTTCTGAGGAAGACACATCAAGGAATATGTCATGTAATCTATCATAGATTCATACAATGCAGTGTTCGAAATACCTGTCTGCAGTCTGCAATCTGCAGATAGATTTTCAAGATTGCAGAAGAAAAATTTATACAATCTGCAATTTTGCAGCAGGAAAAATTGGCACTTGGGATTTGGTGCTCTTGGCCCCAAGGACAGACAACACTTAAGCTCCTGTTCTGAAACAACAGGAGCTTCTTCACTAATTTACATCAACCTTGTCTTGATTTGTCTTCACTAATTTGCATATCAATCAATAGTTCATGCTTATAAACTTGCAAGATTGTAGTATGGAGGCTTGTGTATTTGCAGAAAGTATTTCCAAATTGCAGAACAAAATTTTGACTCTTCTGCAATTTTGCAGAGCACAGAAAAAAAGTATTTCGACCACTGCAATGTAAAATTGTACTGCATGGAAATGGGTGAAACTTTATGTAGCATAGGAAAGATGATTGCAAAAATTTACTTCTAGATTTAAGAAACGGGAAATAAAATAAATCAGTCCGTCATTTCTCTATCAATTATGTATTATTGCACTTGTACACAGGCACACACATTATAAACGTTGTAGGCCTGCATTCATATGTATTTGCTTTCATATAAATTGGAAAGGAAAAGGATGTAGGCCAGAAAAGCATGTTATCATAGACAATATTAACACAGAAAATGCTGGTTTCACATAATCTAACACCAGACATAAAATAATCTATTCTTTGGGATTTCTTCCTTCAACATTATTTTTGAAATTTCATATTTGATATTTGGTTAGTTTTTAAAAATAAGCAAGCACACATGAATTCTAGCACTCAATTAGTTAGGGCCACACCAATTTAATTTGTTGGTTCTCGGATTTTTTCAGAAAAAATATGAAGCGACAGGGCGAAAAAAAAATAAAAATAAAAACAGGTCTAGGCATCCTATTATAGGCTTAAATGCTACGAAATGAGCCATGAAGTCAACACAAAAGGCTGGGTTAAAATTTAAACATTGAATTTTGAACTTTAAATCAAACCACTGCAATGATAGATGGGAAAACTGTAACAACTAGGAAGAAAAGGACTATCCTCAACTGTTGGGGGCAAAACATGAGCATTTTTCAGTTGATTCAGAACCAGAATCATATTATTTTTTTTTGCAAATCAGAAAAAACTAAGACTAAGAGGCGAATCCGAGAACCAACAAATTAAATTGGTGTGGCCTAGGCCATACTCAAAACACTCTGGCTTTATCATTTATTTAGTTAGGGTGGGAATGGAATTACATTTTGGACATTTCAGTTTTTACTAAATTTTACTAAATAAACCAACTCCTCCCAAATTTTGGCAGATTTAAGTTGGGATTCAGAAAGAGAACTAGGCATCAAAAAGGATGCCTATGAAAAAGTTGATGCACTCTAGGTCAAAATCAAGTCAGCATTCAAACACACATACAAATTATGAATTGATGAATCACAAGCAAGGCCATTAACCATTCCTGGTGAGTACAAAAAATGATACCTAAAGCTCCCACACTTGCATACAAGCTCACAGCCTCACATACACACACACTAGTAGTTACACACAGCTATACAATATGATTATGAATATAGAATAAAATCTTAGTACCCTAGCGTGAGACAATACATGTAACTCCCCCCCAAACACATGCATGCACTTACACATGCCCCACCCTCATAGTCACACACACTTTGACACTCACACACTCTCATTGTCTCAAGCACGCACATGCACTCATGATGTGCACACACACACACATAAACGCACACATACTGGTACACTCACACACACAGGTACACACACACACACTCACGCATACACACACAGGTATACACACACACTCTCACGCATACACACACAGGTACACACACACACTCTCACGCATACACTGACAAACTGTTGTACACATGCAGACACACACACACACACACAGCCATACAAACAGACTCTGACACATACATTGTACAAACACTCACACCCGCACACAAACCCTTAAGACTATATATACACTTAGTCTACTGTATACCTGGTGTGTGCAGACACAGTAAAACACAGAGTCTCGGTGTGCGTTGTCAAAGACAACAGAACACCAAGGAAAAAGGTTGTATTTTTGTACCAATCCGTCAGTCAATAACACAACATTATCTATGCACCACAATTATCAACATTTATGAAAAATGCAATGTAGTTTGTCAACTTTAACCTACACATACATTTCTCAATATGAAAAACTTTTTGTCTGATTCACTGTATTAAAATTAAAAAGGAAACCGTCTGACTTCTGAAAGAAATTATACTTATTAGCGAACAACAATCCAAAACAAAACTGCAATTCAAGCTTTCATGGACTAGAATATTTTATTTGGATCTGTACATTTTGGGAACAAAACTACAAATTGGAGAAGCAAAACTCGAAACCTGGAAGTTTTAAAGATCCTCGTGGCTATAACTTACTGTCTTAGACATTACGATAATTGGTAAATATAATTTAAAGCATGAATACTACTAATATTTGTTAAGAAACAGCAAAGAAACATGATAGAAACCTCAGCCTCAATGTATATCTTCCAGTAGCGCCCTGCAGTCTGAAACTGTCCCACCAGTCGCTCGTACGTTCCCCGCGCTTTGTCGATATTCTGGTTCTGAAAACGACATCGTAACGCAAGCTAATGTTAACCTTTGCACGAGATATTATTTCCAAAAATAACAAGTGTACGAAAGAAAGGTTGTTGTTAAGACTTGGGGAATGATTCAATGTACATGTATAAACTGTACCTTACTCACCAATAAGAACTGTTGTGCTTCAAGTCAACTTTCATTCATTCCCATGCAATTCATTCATTCTTTCCATCCATACATCTTTGCTAGTTAGTGATTGAGTTTTGACACATTCACTCTCTCCTACTACTCTTAGCCTGGCATCCAGCCTTGTTAGCTTTAGGCCACTTCCCAAGATTTGCTAGTCTGCCCATGTAGCTTACATGGCTGGACTCCAGGCTACTCTCTCACTCACTTAGCCTGGATACAAGCCTTGTTAACTTTGGCCTGATCACAACTACCAAGAGAGACATGATTAGTGCAGAGTGGCTGGATTCCAGGCTACACACATTCCCAATTTTTCTTACTCTTAGTCTTACTCTCAAAGACTTAGTTACTGAGCCTGAGTTACTTGGTGCCATTGGTAAATGATACTAAATCTAGCAACTGTAGCGTCATTTAAGAGAATTCATTTTTTTTTCCAATCAAATCTTCAACTTAAGATACTTCAATATCTAGATTAATGTATGTTCAAAGATGAATTAATAAGTTCATCCAGTGTTCAGTCAGTTCATATAGCAAAGCCAATCATGCAATATTAAATTAATAATTAAGTCAACATCCTCACGAACTAAAGGATCATTAGCATAGATGAAACAATAATTGAATAAGCAACAATGACACTTCATACAAAATACATGTAAATGGTAGTTGTTTATTGTGTACAGTCGGTATTTGTCAACTAGTATCTATATCATATTTCAGCATTAGACAATGGCTAAGACACTGACAACACACTAAATCTGCTAACACTACACACAATTGTTATTTCATTATCACATTTCTTAGTTAAAACTAACACTAAACTTAAACGGTTAAATGGTTGTATTGTTTCAGCTAATATTATAGTCATAATGAAGTAATGCAGGTGAATACTAATTTTACATATCATATCAATACTAGTAGTAGTGAATATCAATCTTTTTACCTGGGCCTCTCGTATCAATACACTCCATGCATCTACATCAAACGCGTTCGCTTCGATTCTCTTCTCTGCTTTCTTGACACGGTCAGGGATGTAGCCCTGCTCCTGGTACAGAAAAAATTGAAGGACACAATTTTTCAAAACTTTTCTGAAGACCTGACGCTGACGTATGAATCATTATACTATGGATGGATAAAAATTTCCAGAAAACAGCAAAAATTACTGGTGAATTTATTTTCAAAAAGAAATTTCCAAATCACAGCATGGGGTAAAAAAATTCACCAACAAAATTAAAGATTTTTAAGCTGCTAATACACACTTCAAATACCACTATATACTAGTACATGAATTTAAGACACATCTAAGGTGGAAGCTCCTTAATAAAATCTAGACCTCTTTTCATATTTTCTTTTTATTTTGAGCACAAGCCATTTTCAAATTCTCTGCCCCCCCCCCCTCCCCACCATAATTTCCTAGTACACACACGGGCACCAAGGCCAAGCTACGTCTATCGCACAAAAAAGTTGACAAATCCATGCCAAACACTTGCATCTCAGCCTAATCTAATGCTTGATATATACATGCTAACACTTGAGTGCTAAAGGAGAGCCTTGGCGAATAGCATAACATAAAATTAGGCCAACATATGGCGAAAATATCATGTAGGTTTGAAATTCATGAAAGGATTTTTTTTAGAACAAAAATGAACTCACCTTTCCCAGCCCGCCATCGCCCGCTCCAGACATCATTGGAAACAACAAAACACACCTAACACACAAATTCCGACCCAAGCAACATCTACACACAGGATTAAAGGAGAAAACAGTTTTATTTGGGGGAGAAAATCCCGAGAAATGTGCGAAAACACCCTGACCACGCTACAGACAAAATGGCCGTCCTGGAGAAGAAGGGGGAAGGGAATGTCCCGGATGTAAAAAGACAAAGCTACCGTGCTTGAGCGCCACCTAGTGATAATAATACAAACTGCAGTACTGGACTAGTCACAAGACAAACATGTGACAGATAACAGGAAGACTCAGAAATTGAATATTAGAAGGAAAAAATGACTTCTAGCCATAGCAAAAATCCTATAAAGTTCATTTTGATGAAGTAAACTAGCTGTATTTTCTTATTTGGCAAGAACAACAGTAACCGATCAACATGGTCTTTGCTGCACGTGTTGCGTCATCAGAACATCTCACTAATAAAAAAGGTTTCAATTTTCCACACATTAAAATTTATGATATTCACATGGTATAACGCTACTTACTAAATAGAATACTCATACTCAAATTTACTGAGATGGTTATTTTCGAATACAATATCATTAAAAACTTGATAAATAGGGCATTCCTGTATGCACAATAATTTTACATTTACCACCACACCCCTTAAAAATTTGTGGACGGCTCCATAAGTTGTTGGACAAGACAAGATGGCGGTACGAGGTCCACCCGGCATTCGGTTCTTACAGTGGCTCGGTTTGACGCCTTGTTGGGACCGACAGAAAGTGTAAGTAGACATTCTTCTCAGTTTCAAAGATCACGGAAGCAATATTTTACTATCTGGCCAAGTTTTGGCAAAAGCAACCCCCTTTTTAGGGACGTTTTTTTAAGATTTGCCGGCGACACCCTAGAACAAGGTGTACCCCTCCCACCCACTACATGTAACGTTATACTTATATAACGCGTTAGATCATGTAAATTCATTCGGCCACGTAAACAACAGTAAAATAGCATCGTGCCATTCCCTGTCTTGTCATTTGTGACATCTTCCTTTGTAATCTTTAAATACATGACTTGTTTTTTAATTGAAAATGATGAAAAATCAAAGGTCTAGTAATATGTTGACCTTTGAATTTTAATGAGTGACGTTTTAATGTTATTGAGCACTGTACTAGTAGTTACTTGTACATACTACGGGTTTTGATACTGTTCTGTAAGCAAGAACGAGTAAACATATTTTACGAAGGATCTAAAACTATAAGTATGATTTCCACTGCCATAACAATATACAAAACCAAAGTTGTCAAGAAAATTACAAGTAACAACAGTTAAATTGTAGCAAATTGTATATTACTAATAAATGTAAAACAGTTTTCCAATAATGTACAATTGCTATGTGAGGTATGTTATGAACAGGGTGATAGTAATACATGTACTTTTGTTGCCCCCCTCTTTGACCATCTAGTTACCAGCTGTGGACCCTGTTCCTGACATTCCTGTGTTATACCAGCTACCACCTGTCACGGAAACCCATCAGTATTGTCAAGGTAACACACTTTTTTCTGTTTGTCTGTTTGACGTAACCTCATGTCGAGAGTCAAAGGGTCAAAGTAGGGTCGCATGGCACAATGGCAGAGCATTCGTCTTGGAACAAAGAGGTCTCGGGTTCGAATCCTCCCAAAGTCACTAACCATGTGCCCTTTGGAAAGGCACCTAACACAAGTTTCCTCGCTTCATTCATGTAAATATGAGAATGCCAGAATTATCATTATCAAGAAACGAAAACCAAACCAAAAGGACTCTGACAATCCTAGGGGGGCCAGATTGTCAGATCTGAATGTACACTAAGATATTTGAACCATTTAATACTACTGCAAAATGTACTTCTATAACCTACTTTTATCTTCACCAGAATGAGCTCCATAAAAACTGCAACACCACCCAAAACAACACCAACACAGCAAACTGCTCTTCATGGAAGCCATTTGGTGAGTCCACTGTATTATGTCTATCTGTTTGTCTGTTTGAAACACTGTGGTACTTAAGTACACATAAATCTGTTGATGGAATGACTGGCAAGTTTGCAAAGGGATTGAATTTCTGTCAGTGAAACAAAGCCATCAATTATGATAATAATATTGAAAATACAAATTGAACATCCCATACTTCAATGCTTGAATGCTTAAAATGTTGTTAGATAAAACTGTTTTCAACTCTCTTTGTATTGTATGAACTTACTGTATATACAGAAACTTTAGCTGTGGCTCTATTTGCGTGATTTTCCAAAAATGTGCGTTTTGTAAATCTACTGTACTATTATATTTTCGAGGGCATTTCAAACACTGCAAAACCCTAATTTTCCATCCTACATAATTACGTAAGAAGAAAATTAAATAAAACAAACGCATGCACAAGAAAATGCATTTGCAGATAATACACGCGTATTTACAGATGGCAGTGACTATGAGTCCCTGTTTGGAGACCTGGACACCGCTTTTCTGTTCGCCTACGCTGGGGGCATGTTCTTCAGGTAAGCCTAGTGTGATTTTATCTATTTAACCCTTCAGCCTGCTAAGTAAGCTGTTTCTCACCATATCTGTATTGGTTATGGGGTTAGGCAGCAGGGAGAAGGTTAAAAACAAATTCATTTGTAGAAAATATGCCAATTGTTTTATTTTCAGAAGGCACAGGATAGAAAAAAAGTTGTCTGTAAAATGTACGTTGTCCTGCAGGTTCAGAAAAGTTTATTAGATGGAAAAAGAACATACACATGTACAGTCCAACCTGTCTATAGTGGTCACTCAAGGGACTGACCAAATTTGACCACTATAGACAAGTGACCACTATAGAGAGATAGTATCTGAAAGTATAGATAGTCTCTATATGTCTCAACAGTTAACTGTACATACATGTATATATAATGGCCAGTGTTTCTTCTGGAAGAGTCACTGCATTAAACTTCCCTTTGTCGGCCAGACTGCGTGCCTTTGTCCTTGTTTAGGTTGTGATAATTGTGGAAAATGTCTGGTAGTCATTTTTATTAATTAGCACTACCGGGCTTTTTTATATAGAATTCCATGAAATGAATGCTTTTGGGGTATATATTGCAAAATATGATAAATATTAGTGTTTTGATAATTGTTCTTCATTTTTGTAGTGGCCACATTGCTGAGCGGAGTAACCTGAGGTACTTCCTGGTTCTGGGCATGCTCAGTAGCGGGCTGATGACGGCACTGTTTGGCCTGGGTTACTACTGGAACATTCACACTGTGGCCTTCTTTGTTATAGTACAGGTAGTCATTCATTCATTCATTCTTTCACTCACTCATTCGTTCGTTCGTTCATTCATTCATTCGTTCATTCACTCTCTCACTCACTCACTCATTCATTCACTTACTCATTGTCTTTCACCCAACCATCTATTCACTCTCACTCACTCACTCACTCACTCACTCACTCACTCACTCACTCACTCACTCACTCACTCATTCATTCACTTATTCATTCAGTCTTTCACCCAACCATCTATTCACTCACTCTCACTCACTCACTCACTCACTCACTCATTCATGCATTCACTTACTCATTGTCTTTCACCCAACCATCTATTCACTCACTCACTCACTCACTCACTCACTCACTCACTCACTCACTCACTCACTCACTCACTCACTCACTCACTCATTCATTCATTCACTTATTCATTCAGTCTTTCACCCAACCATCTATTCACTCACTCACTCACTCACTCACTCACTCACTCACTCACTCACTCATTCATTCATTCACTTACTCATTGTCTTTCACCCAACCATCTATTCACTCACTCACTCACTCATTCATTCACTTACTCATTCAGTCTTTCATCCAATCATCTGTTCATTCCTTCATCCATTCATTCAAATATAAAGTTTTTATTTAAAGTGATACTGTAACGTTAAACATGTATAAAAATGTTAATTTTTCTAACATACTGACCCTGCCCACCCCCAGGCTGTGGCAGGAGTGGTACAGGCGACCGGCTGGCCAGCTGTAGTCACCTGTGTGGGCAGCTGGTTCGGGAAGGGAAGGTAGGTCACAGGTCAACTGTCAGAGGTCAGGAGATCTAACATTCATAAAAAATTAGTGCAAAGGAAATGCTATTCAAAACTCCTTGTTAATACTAGTATGGCAGACAGCTATGGCAGCTATGTATACTAGTCTTGTCTTTATCAAAATCAACTCTGCAAGAAAACATATGACTAACAAGAATGTAGGACTTCCACTTGGAAGGCATGTGGGAAGAAATGTGGGAAGAATGTAAAACTTCCACTTGAAAGGCATGTGGGTATGTGGGCAAGAATGTAGGACTACGTAGGAATGTGTCCATAAAAGTGTGCCATCAACATGCCTGTAGACATGCCATGCCTGTGGAAAAAAATGCCTGTACAATTCCTAGAATTCTTGCAAACTACACACAATACTGTGCCATTAGGCTCCCCCCTGAGGCGTCGCCAAAAAAACGGGGTTTCATCATGGGTCTGCAGAATTCTACTGTCCATAACCCCTTATAAAGGCCCAATGGACTGGCTAGCTGGTACTGTTTAATCTCTGGAAGAAACATTTTCAAATATCTGACTATGTTGTAGTAAAATATTGAACTTTATTCCAACACAAAGATTACACAGAGATCAAATTTTCAGCGACCACTGTTACCTTCATCAGGATAATTAATGACCAAAAACTTCAAAACATGATTACGCGAGAGTTATGGTTATAGAGACGTGAACTTATTCACATGAGACTTTAGAGATATGTCACGTCAGCAATTGATCAAAAGTGCCAGGGAGTTTTTATCGTCCTGGGTCTGTGTTAAGTGATGGTTGGAGGGCCCTGATATACTATTACATGTGTATATGGCCTCCTTAATGCCTCTTAAAATCTAACCATCTTGTTTCAGACGAGGTTTCATCATGGGTCTGTGGAACTCTCACACGTCTGTGGGGAACATCCTGGGTTCTCTGATCGCCGCCGCGTTCGTGTCGGAGGCCTGGGGTCTGTCGTTTGTCGTTCCCGGCATCATCATCGCGTCTGTAGGGATCCTGGCCTTCTTCTTCCTCATCACAGGTGGGCTACAGAACTAAAGGATTGAGGCTTAGGCCATGTTGATTTGATTATATGGATGACATCCTCTGGGAACCCCAAAACTGATGCGAGCGTGCGAATAAAAAAATCTGGCCAAAAATAAAAATGCTACTAAACCACAAGAATACAAAGGTGGTATTGTGAATTTGCAGTTACTGTAGTACATATGTACATAGCAACATATCTGACAAACCGGCACATGCTGTTTTGTTGCGGAATTTCCATATTGTCACTAGCTACCATTGACTACCCAGGCCTAGAGCCAGACCAGAGCCTTCTTTTTTTTTTTTTTGAGAACAGCCAAAAATCAATGCCTGCGCGGATGTCATCTATAAAATTAAGTCAGTGTGGCCTGGTTATCAAACCTATCAAACCTATATCAGCTCCCGAGTCCTCTCCGCAGTTTGTAGGACTCGGACTTGTAGCTAAAATAGGCTAGAAACTTGTCTGATATTGACATTTTCTGTCATTTCGTAACACATTTGATACTTGAAGCATTTTGAAATACACGTAGGTCTAAAACAAGCTCTATACACACAGGTACTTATATATGTATTTTTGGGTATCACCCAAACCTATAGCCCTGAAGTCCAGCAGGCTATGTGACACATTCACTAAATGTATTGTTGAAATATGTTGTGGAACTCTATACTGTTATGTTTAATACATGTACTTTTTACAATTCCATATCATTTTCCTTCAACAGAACCAAAGGAAGTAGGGATAGTGATGGAGGACAAGGGGAGGAAAGACAGCTACACAGTACAAGCTGATGGACCCACGGTATGTCAACACAAGTGTGGCACACTCACTAGTACTATAGAATGTAGAATTGAAGCACACCCAGGTACGCTGATGAAGATTAGACATCTACGTATGAGATACACAAGAAAATGGTTACTCAAACAGTTGGAAAAATTTCGAAAATATTTCCAGTTGATTTAGCAACAGTTTAACTGTTTTCTTGACGTGCATATTCAAGTAGCTTTTCATGTTGAAAAGCTGTGAAACAACAGCAAATGAGAAGTGAGTTAATGAATTTGTATCCTCCTATTTTCTGCTTTTTCCCCAAATCTAAATCATCATTCAGTTCCATTTCATCATTCGTACCTCTTTGATCTAAGAATTTATTTAGTGAATATTTATCCACTACCCATCTCTTTTTTTCATCTTAAATTCATGCATATAATCTGTAACTCTTGCATTCTGTTTGTTTCATTCTACAAAGTTAATGTGATTAGGCCACACTAATTTAGTTTCTTGGTTAACGGATTCGCCCACTTCATTTTTTTCTGATTTGAAAAAAAACAATTCAGAATCAACTGCAAAATGCCTTGTGTGTTGACTTCATGGCTCCTGTTTTTATTTTTATTTTCTTTCGCCCGCCCGCTCCATTATTTTTGTAGAAAAATCCGTTAACCAAGAAATTAAATTGGTGTGGCCTTTACTGCTTTTGTTAGTCTGGCTAACAGACCTTACCCGCACACTCACAGCAGCATATCCCACTGTGTGAGCGCTGTTTTAACGAAGAGTCTGAGACTGAGACTACAGAGGTTGTACCCGAGGTTGCATCATTACCGGTGGTTGTAACATTCCTCTTCTTGTTGTAGAAAACTGGTGGTTGGTAGATAGATGGTGTAGGCTGTCCTCTACTCTTGCTGTCTTGCTCCTGGGTTTGATATTCAAGAGTTGTGTGCTTAAAAAAAGCAGTCCAACTTGTTTCTGCAAACTGGTTGCAATACATAGCTCTGCTGCTAGGTGTCCCCAGTGAGCCATAACCATACTGCTCTCTGTCTTGCTTCTGGGTTTGATGAGTACTATGCTCAAAATGTGCAGAAAGAAAGCAGTCCAGCTCGTTTCTGCAAACTGATTGCAATACATAGCTGTGCTGCTAGGTGTCCCCAGTGAGCCATAACCACACTGCTCTTTACCAGCAATTATTTTGTGGCATTACCTTCAGAAGTTCTTTCTTTGGGCAATAAGGTTTTTCTGTACCCTGCCAAAGATGAGATACAATTTTGTTTATCTTATGTTGTTTGATGTTTGTTTGTTTGTTTATTTACTTGTTTGTTTGTTTACAGGTTGCTGATTCAGAGCCACTGCTGGGTGAAGAAATCAAGCCGCTATCAGGGGGTCCGTCAAACCCAAAAGCCATCAGTTTTTTGGGTGCTCTAAAAATTCCTGTAAGTTCTTTTGCACTAACTGTACTATACTTCTCAAGAAAAAAAATATTTCATGATATATATTTAAATGTATTGCCATTGACTCTAGTTACCTCCGGGGGAGGAGACATCCTTCCGCGGAAGGGTTTTGTGAGAGATTTAGATTTTCATGTTCGCAGCTGTTTCTCGCGTTTGGATGGACGGATTCTTTTGAGACTCGGTATATGTTTTGCTATTGAGCTGCAGATGATGCACGTTCTTTTGTTTTTATTGTTTATGTGTTTTCGGGCCTGAAAATGGTGCCTTTTGGTGGCCCCAGAACACCCCTTTGAGCGTGAAAGTGGTCGCGACCGTTGACCTTTGGCGTGTATTAGGTATTGTCGGTCTCGTCCACGAAGCTGACCCCTTGCACAGAGGGGTGTCCAGTCTCGATAAATTCTTTGTTTAAAACCCTAGTCCTGCGGCGCCGGAGGTATAAAATCTCAGATTTTACTTGTTTTTTCTTATATCTTACTTGTAGCATCAATTATGATTCCATTTTTTGTTGTATATTTATGTACCAAACATGTGTTATGAACATTTTTGTCATGAATATTTCATAATCTTATTACACTTTCAATGGAAATTCTTCCAAATTATCAGACAATTATGAAAACATTTCTTTTACTAAACTGGACATAAATTTTCTTTACTATAGGGAGTGATAGAGTTCAGCATGTGTCTGTTCTTTGCCAAGCTGGTCAGTTACACCTTCCTCTATTGGCTGCCAAAGTACATCAAGGATGAAGGTAGGGTATTTGTTTCAGTGTTCCTGATTGGTCAATGTGCTTTCCTTGTGTGATTTTGAAAATCACTTGTGTGATTTGTATTTCACTCCATACCATGGTATGCATGAAATATATTATTTGTGTTGTTTTCTACAGAGGACTACAGTCCCACTGTATCAGGAGACATGTCAACTCTTTTTGATGTGGGAGGGATTGTGGGTAAGTAGTGTCTGTTTTAGAAAATTATACCTTTTTGGTTTTGTTTGGTTTTGTTGTTGTTGAGTTGAGCATTAATTTTTCCAATTATTTCTTATTTCTCTATTTATGTATTTGACCAATAGTGCATATAATTATCCTTCACTTCAAAGACAGATTACCACATTTAACCTAAACAATGCTATACCTCTGCCAAAAAGTAAGGCCTAGAAAAAAAATGTGTTTTCTGTTTCCCGACCGACCCTAGAAAAAACTGCCGACCCTAGTCTTTTTTTTATGTGGATAACTGCAAAGGACATACATTTTTAAGCTGATGGACTATTTTTAGCTCCATGATCTGACACCTGAGTGATGAAATGTTGTACAATCGGTTTTCCAACATTGACATTAAAAATATAAGCCTCCTCTTGCAACTTTTACTTTGTTAAACTGTATTTTAGTTGGATCATTAGAGACCACTAAAGTCTAAAAACAAAAGATAATCCCTACCTACCGACCCTATTTTTGTCAGGACTGAAACAGGAAACAAAACATTTTTTTTCCTAGGCCTAACTGTAGAATTTGGATGTTTTGCTAATTTTGAGCAGAAGATATACATGTAGGATTTGCTGTTTGTATTTGAATGTTCTTAAAACTGTCCTACATGTTCCCTATAGGTGGTTTCTTGGCAGGTACCATTTCAGACTTTACAGGGGGGAGGGCCACATGTTGTGTGGTCATGCTGGTACTTGGTGCACCTATGGTAAGTCTTGTCTGATTTTATACTTTGATACTGCACACATATCTGTAGCTGACAACAATGTCATGGGATAGAGTTATAGTATATATAATTTTGGTGTAGTACTAGTAGGCATATTTTGTATGAAATGTGTATTTTTCATTTACAATACAAATTAAGACTACTGCTGTGCTGCCACATTTTACTTGTGGTTTAATTTTTCATTGGCATTTTGGACTACTTTTTATACATTGTGGTCTTAATATGAGTTTAAAACCATTGGGTTAACTGTATAAAACTGAAAATGTAAATAATATCATCATAATATATTATGTAAAGATAAAAGAATCATACCGGTAAAAAAAGATATTAGAATCTGATATGAAATCTGAAATCTTGACATTATTTTACGTTCCTGTTTGTTTCCTCTATTTCAGCTCTATGTGACCCAGGTTGTCTTTCAAACCAAACCATCCACATCAACAGCCATAGGTATGTTACATGTGCTTTAGTCATGAGGCAACTCTGTTTCTTGCAAAATTGCAGGAAACTCTGTAATAATCTTAAGATTTTGCAGGCTTCATGTATTTGAATGGGCATTGTGTTGTAGTCTTTATCTTGATTTTTGACAAGAACACAGTATACCGGTTTTTACATACTTATATAGATTGCTCACTTGAAATAAGTGGTTTTGATAATCACACATGCATGCCTATCTTTTTCTCAATTATAAATTTGTGAAAAGGCAACTTGGCCTGAATGCAGTTTTTTTCTGTTTTTCTTTTGTTTTAAATTTCTGCAATATCTAACAGGTATGCTAGCAGCCCTGGGTTTCCTAGTGAACGGTCCCTATGCACTCATCACCACAGCTGTGTCTGCCGATCTGGTATATATAATATATTTTTTTCAGAATGTACCCTTATGTGCTTAGAATGTACATGATCATCAGTGATAAAACTTGTAAGCACTGTACCTGATACTTATGAAACACAAGCTCATACACATGTCTGTACCAATGCTTTAACCCAAGCTAGTATTATAAGTTATACAATCATGTACTTTATATTGAGTACCTGGTGTATGTACCCATACCAGGAAATCTATTCGAAAGTGTTTTAACCTTCCTTCTAGGGAACACATAAAAGTCTGAAGGGAAATGCCAAAGCCCTGTCCACTGTCACAGCTATTATAGATGGAACAGGGTCTATAGGTAAGTGCAGAATAAGATTCTATATAACTTGTTACATGTATGTATCAATGCAAAGATAGGACCAACACACTCACTGTATTTCTCCATTACATCTCAAATCTCAAAAGAAGGCATGATGTTTTCTAAATGTTAGCATATCATTGTTATCGTGTGTAGTCCTGGAAAGGTTTGAGGCATTTCGCAAAACAGGCCTCCTTTATTCGCATGTTTAACATTTGTTCTCATTAAGTCTAGCATGCATACACATTCTAAATTTGAAATTTACCATAAGTTTACCAGTATTTCACATTTTGGTCTCCAAAGCAAGATACATGTGCTACATGCGAGAGAGGTATTGTAGTGTTAAGAAAGAACCTACATGTAACAGGTGCTGCAGTTGGTCCACTGTTAGCTGGTATCATCCTGAACAAGGCAGGGTCTGAACAACGAGCTGCCCAATGGGACAACGTCTTCTATATGCTCATGGCTTCAGATGTACTGGCCTGTCTGGTAGGTCAAAGTTTTTGCATAAACCTAATACCTACATCATTCAAACTATGCTCATTATTATGAAACAAGTTTAAACTGCAATTTCCAACACAACAAATTGGACTCACCCAAATTTTCGACTGTACAACTCCAGTCTTTGTTAAGGAATGAACAATCCACCGCTTCCGTGACGTCACGCAGATAACACAAGTGACTCCATGAGCAGTGGATCATAGGTTGCGGAAAGTCTGTGGCGCCCCCCGTCTCTGTTCAGGGATGGTTGTAATGTCCTGATGTAGATATACTAGTACTCATTATTATCCATATTGAAATTTAAGCCATTGCTGATTATGCTGGTACATAGGATATAAAGAATATGAAGAATATACATTATCCAGAAGAATTGTTATTATACGCTCATTTTTATGCTGTTTTTTTTCCAGTTCCTGTTGAGAGTATTTGTAAAGGAAATAAAAGGTTGGTGCACCGGTCGCTGTTTTGAACAAGAGACATCCAACGTTACGTGACCATTGGAAATGACTGTCCTGCCAAATGAAGAACATTCAGATGAAACTAAAATTCATACACAAGAATAGATATAAATTATAACTATGCAGAGGACTGGGATGATATTGATGTACATTATATGATCAAAAGATTTTTTTATGTTGTTTAACCCGGTGATATTGAAATTCTCAAACAAAAGGCTACCTCCACAATTAGAGGGTTATAACTTAAATGGATATTATTCTGGCTATCTTTTTGATCCAACACCAAAAATTCTGTCACCTAGAGCTTTTGACCAGTCACTCTGGTCTTCCTCAGTCATTCTGGCTAATTTTTAGATCTTCTTGGCTGTCATTTTTTCTAAACGTAAAGTTTCAATCTACATTTCTGTATAATATTTTTGTTATTCATCCAGTCCATTCAAGAGGTCTAGCATAGTTGCAGATGATACTTTTTTAATACATGTACCAAAGTTTAGATTCCAATTTGAAGAAGAAATAGTTTCGTACAAAAAAGGGGAAAAAAGGATTATAAAATGTTGCCTTTGCTTAAACTTAAAATTTGCAATGCATAGCGTAAAACAAAGATGGGTCCATTTGGAGAAGAATTTTTGAGAAAAACTGTAGTTTCATACAGAAAAGGGTAAAAAGAATTATAAAATGGTGCCTTTGGTTATGTGTTAAACCTACAATTTGCAATGCATAGCATAACACAAAGATAGCTTCATATACTTCAATCGTAAAAGCATGTTCAACATGAATTTCATACTTCCAGCTTCATTCTTATAGTCTCTGATATGTTGACACTAAATGACGTTAAAAAAGATGAATGTTTTGCAACTTGCATGGATATATTCTGCTAAAAATATAAACAGATGCAATGATCTGTATTTAAAAAAGTCTGTGGAACATTCTACTGGCCTTTTATGAACAAGTGTCCAATGAAAAAAACAATCTTGTTCATTGTAGCTTCTACACAGGATTACGTAAATGTTTCTGCATGGGAATAGTACTTGTTTTCAAGGCTCGCAAAATTGTGACTTACATGTACCTAAAGCTTTAATGAGGAGAATAGTCATGAGTTTATCGTTATGATCTCTATGTGGTTTCTTTTTCATACAATGACAGACAAATACATGTATCAGGTCTTACACTGACGTGACAAGTCTATCATTTCAATTGACTGCCTGCCCTTGAGTCAAGGAGGTTAAAAATCTAGATTTTTGGTCCAATCATGGGGCTTGAAACCTTGGTCCAATACAGAAATCCTATAGTTGTCCTTCAAGGTTATCAAATATTTAGACGTTATATAGTAGAGGGGATTCATTCCTCAAGCTACCGACATCTTGCACACGCAGTCGTCCCTCAGTAAGACATCTGGAGCCGCATAGTTCCCGTTTAGAATTTTATTTAGCCTGTCACACACTGAATAAAAGTTCTAAACGGGAAGTGTGACAGGCTGAATAAAAGTTCAAATATTTAGACGTTGTTGTATGTTTAATACTTGAACTATTTATAAGAGCCCTGGAAAACAAGCTAGGGCACCACTCGGGCTAAAATATTTCATCTTTATGTAGCCTAAGATGACAAGACTTAGTGTACCATTTGATGATGCACAAAAGACTTCGCATATGGTTCATAACTCTGTTTTTATTAGTCATTTCTCAGTCAAGTTGTTATTGACTCCTACGCGTCATTTCCTGCGCGTCATTTGATGACGTAACCTAATGACGTCATGAAACCTGTGTTACGTCAGTGGTAGGTTTAGCGCCTCTTGCCGAAAAGCCATCCGCCAGTGGCGTTAGGGTCCTCCCACTCTTTAACCGACACCAGGACCCCGATACACGCCTCCTCATTACCTTGATCGTCCTCGGCGATCAACTTCAGTTCATAGTCACCCTGTAACAGAGAAAAGAAGGCATGGGTTCGATGGCATGGATTCGTATCCCACCGCTGACACCATGTGTAAAGTGTCGATATACAGAGACTTAGATCAACGGCCTTGACACAACGAGTGTACGCTCCAGACTAGACCTCTGGCCTTTATTGGTCTTAATCGGACACAGATGTTCTAGTCTCTTTTAGTCTCAAATTTCTACTCCCCAAAACTATTTCAGAATGCAGAGGGTTTGAAATTTAGATGGGTCATAGCCTTACCAACTGTCGATAGAAAAGGCTACAGGGTCTTTTTGCTAGCGTGGGTCGACATTTTTTTTTTATTCGGCCTAGCCTAGCCTACCTCTGCGAGGAAAGTGAGGAGTCCAGGCTCCAGGTCGGTCAGGTCCACTTCGTTGTTCCAGTTGGGGATGGAGTAGATCTTGGGGGCGATGATGCCCTCACACGTGCACTGGTCCTCCGGGATGCCCAGGTTCATAGCCTCATTGAAGCAGGTGGGCTGGCCGGTGGTGTCGTTAATGGGAGTGTTCAGGTCCAGAATCCCGCAGAGGTCCCCATAGTTGCTGTAGGGGGAAAACAACAATGTACCTAATTTATTGTTGCTGTTCTTAGATACTAAAGACTATCTTCTTTTATGTACTTCTACTGCAGCGTACAAACGCGTAGAGGCCGGGGTGGAGAAATCTTAATGTCCAGGCAGATCCTAAGGTGGCAAAAATACTGTATCAAATTGACCAGGCAGTATTCAAGTGGTCAGAGAGGGTCCATGCGCGACTCAAGGTGGTGGGGGCAGCGACAAATAAACGGGCCATATATAAGAACCTAACGATCTCCCCCCCCATCAACCTCTGGCTGCAGAAGATAGAAATCTCTCGCTGGGGCTATCAAGGCAAACCTCTAGCAGTTTCTGTAGCCAAGGAAACATCCGGACCATGAAAATGGTTGAAAGATCTGTGGAAAACTTTTAAAGGTAGCAGGGTCTACTCTGCAAGTAGATGTTTGGACTTCGGCTTATTTTCTGGCGCGTTTTTAGACGTTTTATCTGGCTCTCTTTCCTTGTATTGGTATATTTTCTTACGCCAACCCAACTCTGGGTGGCCGATGGTATTAAACTGTCTGGCAAATGGATACTGCCTGGCCAATTTAGTACAGCCTTTGCAGCCACCAAAAAGATGTGCTTGGAGATTAAGCAGAGTCTAGAGCCCTGGACCGTGCAACATGTAGGAACCTAACTGAGGGGAACAGGCAGCTACAGAAGGCACTCGCTCACTCAGGTTCGCTTGCTCCTATTATTTTAAAGAGCGTAGCGCCCCGGCAAACAGTCCTCCAGGCGCTTCTGAGACCAAGGAAGGTACATATCTTATAGAAGCCGGGCGCCTAGGCCAGCCCCTTACCATGTTCCCACGCTGTCCAGTCCTACCGTACTAGCTAGACGCCTAGGCCAGCCCCTTACCATGTTCCCACGCTATCCAGTCCTACCGTACTGGAGCTGGTGAGCCCGAAACACCCGATCTGGATGGTGCTGCCCGCCCCGCCCAGGAGCCAGATGGTCCGCCACGCCTCCACCCTGCCGTACAGCGGCCGGGGGATCGGCTTCGTGATTTCAATCTGGTTAGAGAGAAAAGGAAAATATTGAGTTTTCCAGGCAGTCTTTTTTTTATTCAGTACAGTAGCAAAACCGTATCTATTGGCTATAGTAGTGTCCATAATATCCAAACAGATCATACAGCAATACAGTATCCATTGGCCAGAGGAGTGACCATCAGCCACCTAGATTTTCGGTGGCGAATGGGCACACCTCTGGTCAATATAATGGATACTGTTTTGCCATATGATCTGCCTGGAGATTATCCTTAACATTAAGATCATTACTTCCACTACACGTGAATTAGATCCTTAGTCAGTATACGAGTTGTAGAACATTAAAGTAATTGTAAGATTCTATGCAACACGCAAATCGACATTCTATAGCTCTATTCTCTTCCGTTGGAAAACTACCTGTTTTGTTCGAAAAAAAAAAGAAACTACATCCGAACAGCTATATGAATACATGTAGTTTCATCAGGTTGGTAAGTCACTGAATAGAAATACTCTTTTTAGTGTCTTTTTTCAGTCGACGTTTCGGTGACCGTCTGTCACCTTCCTCAGGGCAATTCTGACTGGTTCACATTGCACTGCAGCACAGGTGTCGCTGCTGAAGATGCATTCCCAAAGGTACAATATTTACATATCTACACGGTTACAGTGAAATGTATCAGAACCTACCTCGAAGTCCTGGATGATAAAAGTACCAGGTAGTTCCAGGTCATTTCTGTTGAACGTGAACTTTGGGTTCTGAATGGCGCGGTTGGGGTTACCTGAGGATTTAGAAAAAAAATTATTCGTCGAAAAATTCAATCTTGTATCCTTTCAAAACATTTAACTTAAAGCCATTGAGCATACATACATATTATACTTTGTTAACTCATCATGTGCGTACAGGCTACAGCGTACGAGTTTTAGCGACATTCCGATGCATGTCGCCGACGAAGACCTACGACAACCTATCCGACACAAGACAGATATACGACACATTCACGAATCACGACTGTGAGAGGAATATCCCCAATCAAACGATATTTGTGTACCAGTGATAGCAATGTTACAATTACTTGAATTTTTTTGTTTGTTTAGTTTATTCCAAATTAGAATTGGCGTCGAATGGCTGGGAGGTTAACGCCAGATGACATGGGTTCGACTCTTTGAATTCCGTGAAATTTAAATTTTGAATTTTCATTAAATTAGACGTTTTGTTCTTGGGTAAGGCAACTTTACACGACTTTCGTCACTCCAGCGAGGTATACATACATTTGTAGGCACCTACCTGTGCCGACGTACACGTAGACACAGTGGATTAACATACGGCCTCAAAAACGCTACTGGACTACCCGTTAACCTTTTACTAAAACAGAACGCGTGTTCTACTTACTCCCGCAGTCGAAGACAATGGTCTGTTCGATCGGCTGATGTAGATGTCCGAAGTTGTAGTGCTCGTCAAAGTGGTTGTGCTGTGCCCCCACAAGGGCCAGCGTGGAGAGGAGGAATATCAGCATGGTGTCCTCACAGTGTCCCGGCTACAAAACACTCCTGTCTACGTGTACCGTACGGTATTTATAGAGCTTGTATTTGAACAGGCCATATCAATTTAATTATATGGATGACATCCTCTGGGAACCCCAAAAACTGATGCGAGCGTGCGAATCAAAAAAGTTTTGCAAAAAAAGTTCATGATGAAATCTACGTGGCCATGAAGGTTGGACAAATGACACAGAGTATGGTTTGGCGAATAATCTACTATTCAAATTTATTTCTTTACATTTTCGTCTTTTTTGTTTGAGATTTTGGCATTCTACGACATTGGCATCGTTTTCCAATATTGTTTTTTTTTTCAACTTAAGGTTTATATTTGATCATTTTGCAGCTGTTTTGTACGATTTACAGTATGGTTGAAAACTTCATGCGCGCGGGGATGTCATCCATATAATCAAATCAACATGGCCTCATCAAGCAAGGTCGATCTTGTCCCCGGGTTTTGTAATATTGACAATCGGATGTAGAAGCTAAACTTATATAATCAGTGGAGGGAAGCAACGGAAGTTGCACAAGCGTTCACACCCGTGCGTTTGATTGGTCGTAGATCGTGTGTTTTGTTAAGGACCTAGCCGTATTGGCCGTACGACCGTCATGCGACCATAAAACGTACTTAGTAGATGGCCGTGCACGTACGTCGTACAAAAGTTAGCTTGTTATGAAAAAAGATTGGTGGTTGGTTCTGCCACAGCCTGCCTGAGGCCTTATCAGGCTTGAAAATCCACAAATATATTTTATGATAAATACAAACGTCCACCATGCAGTAAATTTGTTCACATTCTTTGCATATCAAAGGTTAAAAATGTTTGATTTGAGAAGTTAGGTGGGCCTTGATGATAGTATCTTGAATAAACTAAACACGAACTTTATAGTCAACATTCATTCAAGGCACATGTTACGTAATTACCTGAATGTCACTTGTGTCAAATTTTCATTCGAAGATATTGGGTACTGTACCGTACGGCCCTAGTAAGAGGTTATAAAAATGCAACAGTTACTGTAAATTATATTGCCCTCTTATACCACGATCCATATTTTTGGTACATAACATACTACTAGACGCATGATTATTCACAACTTCATTTTTATTTTATTCACTTCACTACATGCGTCACTGAATCATGTGCTGATGTCATGAATCCTGTGCTGACGTCATGAATTCTGTACTGACGTTATGATTCCTGCACTGACGTCATGAACCCTGTTCAGACGTCTGAATCCTGTGCTGACGTCAGTGGTAGGTTTAGCGCCTCTTGCCGAAGAACCAGCCGCCTCCAGTGTCGTTGGGATCCACGTACTCTTTAATAGGAACCCTGATGGCGATACACGCCTCCTCATTTCCCTGATCGTCTTCGGCGATCAACTTGAATTCGTAGTCACCCTAAATAGATTAGTAACAGGTTAATGCCCCTTCCCAAGGTGTATATGGTGAGATAACCCCTGGTCAGGTGCGATAACCACCGAATAAACCACCAAGTGAGCGTAGGTACGGTCCAAAAAGTGGTCGGTTATTCTAATAACGGACCACTTTTGAGGTTACGGCCTGATAACCAATGGCAAATGGATCCACCTGATTATGTACGCCTCCTGGCTATGTGATAATTTACAATCAAGTTTTAACAACTTTGCAAAAGTAGTAATTATCCAAAGTCTAAATTTTCGATAGGGTATTCCGATACATTTTGGTCTTCTTCAGGGTGCATAGTCTATTTGGTCTAGACACGTGATCTTAAATAACCAATGAGCAACAGGTGGTTGGATGTCGGTATCGTCCCCCGTTTTCTTCATTATTTTTCCTACATGTATTTCCTTCTACTGATTTGGATACTATCCAGTGATTCTATCAGATCATAGTAGTCTGTGACCGGCAGTTGACAAACCAGACAAACAGTATTGACCATCGTACTTTGGCGTTTGACAACCCTAGTGACTTTCAATGGTACTGCAGTAAAACGTCCTATCTATGCTATTGAGTGTGGAACCAGCTATCTCACCTCAGCTAGGAAGGTGAGCATTCCCGGCTCCAAGTCGGTGAAGTCAATCAGCCTGTTGTACCCCTGAGTGGCGTACACCTTGGGAGCGATGATGCCCTCACACGTGCACTGGTCCTCCGGGATGCCCTGGTTGATAGCCTCGGGGAAGCAGGTGGGCTGACCCGTGGTGTCGTTAATGGGAATGTTCAGGTCCAGGATCCCGCAGAGATCCCCATAGTCGCTTTAGGAAAATACACAATATAGTATATCATCATATAGCCAGAAGACGTCGACCAATCAGAAGGGTCCATTTCCCATTCCATGAACACAGATCGCCGTAGTCACTAAAAATGAGAAGCCATCAACACCTCCGAAAATAGTTTCATCAGGTTGGTAAAGTATAAGTCTGTATCAGAAAGTCCACCCCAGTGATGAACCGGAACGAGGGGGGGTTACAAACTCATCCACATTTGGGATTGTGTTCTCGCCGCAAAAGCGCCACCTAGGTCGGCTACATATAGCGGCGAGAAGTAGAAATCCAGTCAGAACCTCTAAGGTGTATATGGTGAGATAATCCCTGGTCAGGTGCAATAACCATCGATTAAACCACCGAGTGAGCGGAGCGAAAGAGGTTGTTTATGAGCTTGTTATCGCACTTGACCAGGGATTATATCACCATATACACCGAGGATAAGGCGAGCATTAATGTTATTATCATATAGCCTATCCAACAGACACAGTCATTTGACATAAATTCCTTTATAAAATTCCTCCATTGCCGAAAAAAACTCTCACATTGTATGTTACGTGAAACAGGATTGCATGGACAGAAAAAAAAGCCAGATAATCTAGTGGCTAGCTATATGATAATGTATTTTAGTCCTTACCAAGTTCCAAACCCGTCTATTCCTACGACATTGTCGGTAGAGAGGCCGATGCACCCGAGTTGAATGGTGCTGGAGGCGCCGCCCAGGAGCCAGATGGTCCTCCAGGCCTCAACTCTCCCGTAGAACGGCCGGACAATCGGCTTCGTCACTTCGATCTAGAAGAGTAGGTAAAGCAGCAGCTTGTGGTAGTGTGTGGGAGACAGTCACCCAGTATATGTTTCAACATGGAAAAGTAGTGGCATGGATCATCCGAAATCATAAGAGAATTTGAACACTCGTGTAGGGGGTAGGACTTGTGATGTCACATCTGGTGTCAATTAAGACCAATAAAGTACAGGGACCTCGTGTCTCTGAATCAGTCTTGCCCAAGCCGTTGTCGAGTGTGGTCAGTCATTCTAGTACCCTCCTCAATATATATAACACTGGTGGCAGCGGTGGGATTACACTATTACTTACGACACAATATGGTCTCGTACTAATTGTTTCCTAGCTACCTCTGTGTATGGAGGTTTTGGTTTTGAAGTCTTTGCTTGTGTGTACATGTAGGGTCAAGGGAAGGGAGGGTAACCGCAGATTGACAGGAAGATCGAGTTGGAGGTCAAAATGGTCTCCCCGCAGGCTGGGAAGAAGTCAATGATACAGTGAAGGAACTAAGGAACTCAGGGATTGTGTGTGTGTGTGTGTGTGTGTGTGTGTGTGTGTGTGTGTGTGTGTGTTGACAATGGACTACAGTAGTAATCCACAAATACAAGCCATGTAACCGCAAATTTTAACTTAAACTTACCTCAAAGTCCTCGAGAATAAAAGAACCTGGAAGCGTTAGGCTCTGTTGATTTGGGTCCGCGTTAGGATCCGTGCTGCGGAAGGTGAACTTTGGGTTCTGCAGCGCACGGTTCGGGTTGCCTGGAAATTCACGAATCACACTTTCAACAATACTGGCAATGAAAACATACATCGCCATGGCGACGATGGTTGCTGTTAGGGTTATTGTTTGTATGAGAAGAAGGAGGAGGAGGAGAAGAAACACGAGGGAACACAATATGTTTCACCACACATAATAATGTGGTGAAGCCATAATTATAACTTACTTCCACAGTCGAAGACCAAGGCCGTATCAATCGGCTGCTGTAGCTGTCCGAAGTTGTAGTTCGCGTCGAAGCTTCGATGCTGTGCCCCAGCAAGGGCCAGTGTGGAGAGGAGAAGTATCAACATGTTGTCCTGACAGTGTCTCGGCTACACCAATGTAGGGCCCGTGACACTGGCGGCATTTATACTCCTCATATTTGACTAGTAAGGAAGTCCTTTGTAATGTTGCATCAGATTTTCAGTTCTTGGGTTAGGAACTGAGTGGTACTCAAGTTCACGTGCGTTCAGTCAATGACCCTGTCATATCTTGATTCAATATATGAATTGAAGACAAACATGTACAGGTTGTACTAGTATTCTGCATGAAAGGCTATGTTAAGGATCGCCATGTTTTAAGCTGTCTGTATTGGAATAACAATTTAGGATATTCAGGAATTGCAATTTTTGTTCTTTCAAAAAACCCGAATAGTTCAAAAAATGAAGAAAATCGATTTTCACGTGTAGGGTACCGCCAATTGCAAACACCAGGACATAGATAATATACCGGACACAACGGAAAGTCTGGTATATGTTTTGTCTGGTACCAATTCAAATCGAATGTGTGAACAGCTGTGAAGACTAGCACTAACCATGCCCGTAGCCAGGATTTTGCTGGGGGGGGGGG